CCTGCTGGTCCACGAGCTGCGCGCGCAGGAGGTGATTCGGTAGGCCCTGTGCTGCCCAGCGGAGCATAGCGCCAGCCTCTTGAAGCCCGAGCCCGGCGGCCACAGCTTGGTGGAGGGTCTGGCCAAAAGCTCGTAAGGCCTCAGTAACCTTGCCCATAGCCCGGGCGCCGCCTCCTGAGCCTGCCGCCAGCTCCTCCCAGTCGTCGTCCTGGCGGTGCGTCAGGTTGCAGCCTAGCACGCGGAGCTCGTCCACCACGTAGGTTTGCAGCGCCGGGGGGCATTGGGCGCTGCCCGGGGGGAGCCACACCTTCGTCTTGGTCGCGTTCAGACAGAGCCCCCAGGCATTCAGCCGCCCAGAGAGGTCGTGGATGAACTGCTCGGCTTCGGCAGCGGGCACCACAGCGACGACGTCGTCGAGGTACGCGGTGACCAGGCAGCGCGGAGAGCCGGCGAAGTGCTGCAGCGTTGTCTGGTGGAGGGCCGCCGCGTAGGCAGCGGGGCTCAGGGGGCAGCCCTGCGGGACCCCGGCCCCTGTGCTCAGCTCGTGCAGGTCGCCCTCGCCGTCGCGCCAGAGCCCCACCGCGGGCTTCGCGTAGAGCCGGGCGAGCAGGCTGCCGTACTCGGGGAGGGCCGCCCCCAACGCGGCGAGGACGGCCTGGCGGGAGACTGTGCCGAAGGCGTTACTGACATCGACGGCGACCAGTAGACTCCCTGGTCGGTCATGGACCGCGCTTTGCAGGGCCCGGAACTGGACGTCCGCGCCCCCTGGCACTCCGAGCCCGTACTGGAGCGGACCAGCAGCCGCCTGCGTGGCATCCGCGGTATAGGCGACGAAGCCCGTGAGGACAGTGCGGCGGAAAGGCGCCAAGACAGTGAGAGGCCGCACCCCGCCGGCGGGCTTGTGGAGCGCTGTGATTGTCCCCGTGTTCAACCAGTCGTCCACAATGTGCGGCGTAGTGCCTTCCACCCACGCGAGGGCGGCGTCGGACAGGGCTGCGGCGGCGTCGGCGTCGGCGGCAACCACACGCCAGTACTCGTTGCGACTACCATCCGGCCCCGGCGCGCGGCCAGACCGGGCCCTCCTGAAGGCCCCGAGGATGGCGTCTCCGAGCTCGTTTCTTGTGTCATGTGGGAGAAGAGCTGTGGCGGCGTGCTGCTGCTCCGGGCGCCAAGTGTTCTGTTCCGGGAAGAGGGCTCGGAGCTGGTCGCGCGTGCCGTTCCCCGTGGCCACGCGGCCGGTCTGGCGCAGGGCGGCGACAGCACCCGCCACCTGCCCATCGTCCAGCCTCGCGCGGACGCGGCGCACCCGGCGGTCGATGCTGCCAGTCTCGCCGCTTGTTGGTGCCAGCCGGAGCTCCCGCCTGTGAGCTGCGGCCCAGAGCTGCTGCCACTCGCCGCGCCAGAAGGACTGCAGGCGCGCGGCGATGTCATGCTGGATGCGCACGGCCCGCTTGCCGTTAGCTCCGCGCCCGCCGCGTGTTCCCGTGGCGGCGAAGACCAGGCGGGGGGCGAACATAACCAACTTCCACGCCCTTTCGCGTTCCTGCGGGCTGCTCCCGTGCACGCTCTGCCAGAGCGCCGCGCCCATGGCTTCGGCCCAAGCAGACTGGAGGTTGGAAGGCACGCGTCGCATGGTGGCAACCCTGTGGCCCAGGGAGTGCTGGACGTCCAGGCTGTCCCACCACGTCATGTTGGACAGCCGGGAAGGCGGGAGGCCCTCCTCGTCCCCAGCAGCCGCTGCGGCCGGGGGATTGGGGGTTCCCTCTGGCTGGAAAGCCGCGGGGTCAGCTTCGGGTTCCGCCGCCGCCGCCTCGCCGAGTAGAGCTCGCACGCGTGCGACCTCCTCCACAGGAACCCCGCGTGCCCCCTGCAGCCTGGCTGAACGCCGCCACCGCGTTCCCACGCAGTGCCAATGGCAAAACCGTGAACCGCCGCGGACCGCGCCCTGCGTCTGGAGCCGGGCCTCGCCGATGGCGAACACCTCCTTGCATCTGGTGCAATGGGCGCGCCGTCCGCGGCCCTGCTGGGAGACAACCCACGTAGGTCCGGCCGCGGCTGGCCCATCAGTGTCCATTTGGTCTCCTCCTCCTCCTCCTCCTCCTCCTCCTCCTCCTCCTCCTCCTCCTGCACTCGCGCTGGGGCCCTCGCCCGGGTACCCGAGTGTCGCGTCGAAGCCCAGGGCCTTCCAGCCGGCAGCCCAAGCGGCTGGGGCGGCAGCGGAGCCGGCCTGAGCAGTCGAGGCCAGGGCGCTGGGTAGAACCCCCGCTAGGGCCCCCACGGCGGCGGCCACGGCGAGGCTCGACCCGAGGTAGGCCGACGCCCGGCAGTATGGCCCGAGTCGGCTCCAGCAGTGGCGTAAATCCTCCCGTGCCGCAGCAACCCAGCAGCTGGCACGCCTGCCGACGACGGTGTCGCTTACCGCCTGCATCGCCTCCACGGCGACGAGAACGCCGAGGGCGAGCAACCAGAGGGGGCCGCCCATCACGAACGCGCAGCCCGG